GTTGCATTTTACGGGTAAAGAAGAGCAGTTGCAGTTTTTATCGACTCTGCTTTTGGCCAAAAAAGAAAAAAAAACGGATTCACGAGAGTTGGCAAGGAGCTAAAGAAAAGGCTAAGGAAATCTAGTGCAGGCAAAGAAATAAAATTAGGAAAATTATTAAATATATTTAAGAGAACTAAATAGGGTTTTTTATATTGAAAAAGTCTAAAATTCTTCAAAATTCCTCTAACGGAGAGTATTAATTTTCAGGGATTGTAACTTCCATTTCCAACTCATAGATATATTCCCTTAGGTTTAATTTTCCTTTATAATTTCCCCCTGTGTAAGGAATTCAGTCAGAGCCCAGTCAGTATTTGGCTTAAACATAAAGACATTAAAGACAGTAAAGGGAGAACAGAGAAACGAGAGAAACGTAGAAGAAGAGCGTTGAGATTGCGACTTTGGTGCAATGCCAGGACAACAACCCGGCCAGGACTTCTCCTAGTCCTAGTTCTGGTCCTGGTCCTATTCCTGTGTCTGTGATTTGCCATTGTTCTTGGCCTGCAGGCTGCAGGCAAAATAATAAGACATAATTCCTAAGCTGCTGGTCCAGGACCAGGTCCAGGTCCTTCATCCTTTGGCATCTCCTCGTTGTGTTGTGTCCACATTATGCATAACTTTGCTGGCTTCTTTGTATCTATCTCTCTCTCTCTCTGTGGTTGCTAACCGGGTATGATCAACTATAGGGATACCTCTTTAATTGGAATAATTTATGACGGATCAATTTATACTTTAACTAGAGAAATTTGTATAAAAAACTTAGACAACTTTTTTAGTTGTAATCTTAAAATAAGTAAAGGTATAAGAATGTATTGAAAATAAAGAGAGTATTTAATTATAGCTTCTTTAAATATTTTTAGAAAAGTTTAAGTAACTCAAAAGGAAATAATAATAAATGACTTTCTTTAAAGTATTTTTATTACATATTATTAATTAGAATATTTATTATCTTTACCCTTAAACCGAGGTCATAGAAAGGCTTTAAAAAAGAACTGAAATATACAAGAAAATCCTTGTGTGCTTTCAATTCCCCCCCTCAAAATGTTACTTACATTCCTAAACTAAAATGTTTCATCAACTTTCGTTTCCAATTAAAATCGGAAAAATCTATGCCAACTTATATGGTAATCAAGTGTGTAAAGTAGACAGAGGGACAGACGGTGAGAGCAGCAGCAGGAGCATGTAACAGCAGTATCGTTGGTATTTCTTACATTTTATGGCCAAATTCAATGCTGGTAATTAACTCTGAAAATCCAATTATGGCAAACTTTTCCAAAGTCTGCGTAGCTCTATGGCTGCCGCCTCACACACGTGTGAGAGTGTGTGTGTTCGTGGCAAGGTGCCTGTGTAAGTGTGAAGTTTTCCCAGCTCCCAGTGTGAGTGTGTGTGGGTTCATTTATAAGTGATATGCAGAACATGCAATTAACAAGGGCAAATTCACAGCCAGAGACTGCTACAACTACTACTACTCCTCCTCAGTTCTCCAGTCTTCAGTCCTCTTGTTCTCTGGGTTCTAGAGTTTCCCTAAGGCAGCCACAAAACAGCTCACAGCTTGGGGTTTTCCCACCATCCTTCCCCTTGTCCCCGCCCCCGCCCACTCTCTTTGTGTCCGTCATTGTTTCCAGTCTAATATAATTCCCACGTCATAATTGCCACTGCAACAGAAGCAGAGTCTTCTCTGTAGCGAAGGTGTTGGCCAAAGTCTTTTCACCATGCATATATATATAAACACATATCATATCCATATATATATATATAAATTTATATATATCTATCTATCTGTGTTGGCTGAGAATTCTTGGTCAGGGTAAAGAAGACAATGCAGAGGCCGTTGACCAAATGTTCTAGAAAATCTTTCATTTGTTGTCTTTTAAGCGAATTTAAATTGTTTCCTTTGAATTGTCGAGAATAATTCTGGAATATATTTATTCAAGGAAGCCGATTATGAGGATTATTTAAGAAGTTTTGGCCTGGGAGAATTATTTTAATACAAGAAATAAGCTGGAATTGTATTAAACAAATCCCAGAAATTTATCTATAATTTAAAATATATTTATTTCAATGCATAAACCAAGCAAGATTTACCAAGATTTAATCTTAAATAAGAAAGGAAAACTAACTTACTAAATACATTTGCAGTTTCCAATTGTATTATAGGATCAAATTGGAAATCGATTATAACTAAGCTTAAGCAATTTGTGAATAAGTATTTATCTATCTTCTTATATAACATTTTTTTAACAAATCAATGGTTTAAAAAACTCAAAAGAAGCAAAAAAGCATTAATTTCAATTCGGAAAGCTGTGCTTTGTTATTTCTTATTAGGTTTATAAATCTGCTTACTCAGTTTAAACTTAAAAAACATTACAATTTTTAATTTTTTTTTTTTTTTTGACAATTTTAATGATGTAACCCTTGAAAATTTTCAAAATTTGAAAAAATAGATTTTGCCCAGACATGGCTAGATCGGTTCGCTTGGTGATGCTGATCAAGAATATTTATAATTTATAGGGTCGGAAATGACTCCTTCACATAATTACAATCTTCTAATCAGAAATAAATACCCTTGAAAGGGTATTAAAATACGTATATTTATCCCTGAGCCTTCTTTACTTTTAAACCAAGTTTCTTCGTTGGAAAATCTGCAAGTTAATGCGAAAATTTTCATTAGAAAATTCATTTTCGTGCTTACTTATCCTTTGGGCTCCATTAGCTTTTAGTTGGATTCACAAAAGATGTAAACTCTTGACCCTGCTCTGAGCGGAAATTGAATTTTTTTTTGCTTCCCAGCCTTTGCCGCCTGCTTCCTGTCTTGGCTTGCATATTATTTTTAATTTCCAGCAATTATAAGGAATTTTTCTCTGGGCTTCACTTTTTCTTTTGCTCCTTCTTTAACGATAATTTAATTAGTTGCAAGTTGGCTGCCGTTGGTTTGGGCCATTGCCTTTTCACCGTTTTGCGTTTCATCCCATTAATTGCACTTAACATTTCGTGAATTCTTAATGTCCGACAATAAAAGGAGGGCGAAATTGAGACTAAAGAGGCGTTGACATTTCTCTCCCATTTAAAATGTCTCGATTAATCAGCTTCGAGTTGCCTTCGATATTTAATTAGTTTGCAAGAGAATTGCTTAAGTTGTTGAGCTATAAATGGTTTGAAATTGGATTTATAAATGGAAAATATATTCAATATGTTTATTAAAGGGATATAAATGTTATCAAATGACAAAAGACTGCAAACATATTGAATTTATTTCATTTGAAATGCTTTCTCTACATTTGTTGACACAAAGTGTTTCACGAAGGATAATTCAGTGTAACAGGACAACATCTGGCAATTTGCCTAAGTGCAGCAAGCTGAACTTTTGTGTGTCTCTCTCCCATCTCTCTTTTTCCCATCCTGGCTATCCAAAGTTTTTAATTAGAAACGCATCCTGCGAAAATGGACAGCGCTAACTCTCTCCCCTCGCCTCCTCCTGTTAAGCAGTCAAGTGAAATGAGCAAAGAAATGCGTTGACAACCAGGCCAAAAAGCTTCACAAAAGTAACTTTAATGGCAGACAGAGATGGCCAAAGAATAAATGAATGAAATGGGCACAGCGCCCAGGAATAGGACTTGGAAAAAATAACAAGAAAACGAAACTTTTGACATAAATTCCCATGGCCCCAAAAAAGAAGCAGAGTTGTGAGTTGCGAAAATGAGAACTGATGCGCTGCTTCCTTCCAGAGTTGCCACCTTGATGTGTGACACAGCGCCCAGATTAGATACGGATATTTAAGGCACTCAGACTCAGTGCCAAATTAATTTTAATGCGATTTTCATGGTCTTGTGGAACTTTGCGAGCGTCGCATAACTTTGCGATTTTAACGATTATTGGCCCTAATGCAAATGCAGAACAGAACAGAAAACAATCTTTAAATTTAGCACAGTCTTAGAAGAGTGTCTGGGCCGAAATACACAATTTATTGCTCCTTGAACACACTTTTTTTTGTTCTTTTCTGGAGTGGCTTAAACGCCGCCTCATGCATATTTGATGCCAAATATAAAGCGGCTATAAATTCCACTCGAAATTTACGCACCAAAGTAAGAGTAATGCGCCAAGAGTCCTCGGGAACAAAATCCAAAAAAAAAAAGAAAAAGAAAAGCGCCGAAAAAAGGCAACTGAAACGAAGCGAATCCATGGGATACGCTTGTGTTCAAGGTGCGCTTAAAGGTAGGCAATGTATCTCAAACTTTGTCCTCGTCTAAGCATATGAAAAAGTTACTGGAAATTGTTTTTCATTTTTTCCCAACAAGTTTCGAGTTGAATTGAGGTTGGAGTTGCTCACACATAATGCTTTATTAAGAATTAAACAAAAGAACAATGTTGTTGTCCTTTGTTTTCTTCCAGTCTTTTATTTTAAACCGATTTCTCTCCTTTGTCTTGGCCGAAACAAGGAGCCCAAGAACAACAGCTGATGAAATTTCATGAACACTGAAAAGGTTCTTATGTCGTCGCCTCGTTTTTTCTTTTTGAAAAAAAAGGAGTGGGGTTTGCGGAGTAAAAAGTTATGATTCTTTTGGTTTATAAGCCTTATGGAAAATGTGATAAAGCTGTTTCGGTTGTGTGGCGGTCAAGAATTTAAATTATTTATGGAAGGCGGCGGGAACAATTATTTTTTTGGGCCACAATCAGAAATTGTCAAGAGTTTTTGGTTCTTGGGAGGGTAGAAATGGAATTTGTACTTTGATATATTTTGATATATTTTTATTTAGAATTATGTAAAGAAGATTTTGGGATAAGCAAAAGAGGTTCTCAGAGGACATTTGTGGAGAAGATTTGTAGGAATCAAACAATATTTTAAACAACATTTTTAGTCCAGAATTGAAGTAGAAATAAAGCTCTTCACTACAATAAATGTTTACTTTGTAGTATATAAATCTATTTCATATTTATAATTATTTGTTTCTCTATTTCTTTAGCTCTCACAGCGCTAAGTTCCTTGATCCTTGCCGATGAATCTATTGATACTCGTGAGAATGCAGACTTAACCCTCAAATGTCGATTTAATGACAAATATGAGGCCAACGATTTCTCCTTTTTCTGGACCCGCTGGACAGCGAATCCTGCCCAGTTCGATAATGTGGCCATCGGTGAAGTGCAGTTGAGTTCCGGCTATAGGTGAGTAATGGACTTTTGACCAACCAAAAACCTGGCAATGATAATTGCATGAATGGCAGCTTTGAGGGATGTTAAATGCTGTCCATAAAGCGGATGTCCTTTATGTTCTCTGTCTCTGTGTGTGTGTGTGTGAAGTCGTAAAGTAAAATGGGGGAATTCCCCGCAGCCTCTGTACCTCCTCTATGGCATTAACGTTATCCTTGCCTGACCAAGTACAGTTTATCCTGGCAGCGGCAGTTGGCAGCCATTTGTTAAGTTAATTAAATGTTTCACACTCCTGGCAGCCGCCCCTCCCCTGATCCCCTGACCATTTCACCCATCTCTGAACCATCCGACCTGGATAATGCGATTTATGCATGTGACTGACTGGGCTGGCAACTTAATTAAAATCAAGTTCTTGGCAATTTAAACAAATGCCGGGACTGCGTTGAGTCCGAACTTGGCCACAGCCCTGGGATTTCATAGCGGCTTACAGAGGGATGCCAACGTGACACGGTTGGGATTATGAATATGAAAAGTAGTGGCCTTTAAAATACTATTTTTTATTTACAATAATAAAATGTGATTGTTTTTTCTGTACTGTATTCAGAGAAAGAGAGTTGTCATGGCAAAGGGTTTATTTTGTATTTATAATACGACATACAGATTAATTTTGGTATAAATGTTAGTTTTCAGTAGGAAGAGTTTTACTTTGAGCAGCATATATATTCGTGTGAGAGCTTTGAGAATTTTACTACTACATTATTTGTTTCAAGGAAGAATGAATATATTGTTAAAGTTTTTCTTTTGGATACTTTATAAATAGCTAAAAATACAAAAAGGAGTTAAAAGGAATGCTTTATTTTCTATAGTGCTTACTTTAGGAGTTTGAATCATCTTAAACCAATTTCTTTTCACACTTTTGATGAATTCCTATATTTATTTCTCAAATATTCCCTTAGTTCCGTTCTTAAACGATTAATCGTTGGTGGAAATTCACGAGTTTTCTCAGGCTTCTCACGCCTTTTCCATCGCTATTCGCCATGTGCCGGCGTAATCCTTAATGTCAACGCCGCGTGTTGCATGTTGAGACAATTATGAGCTGCCACACACACACACTACCTCATCCACACTCTCCGCACGCCACATGCCATATAGCAACACACACTCGCACACACACATCCGCTATTGGTGTTTGTGTTTATGTTTCATTTTCATTACCCGTCGCGACCATCTTGTCCCTCCCCCCTTCGTGCTCCTCACATTTCAATGTATTTTTATTTGCGCGGTGCCTGTGTGCGACTTCCGTTTCTGTTGGCCGCCTGCTTTTTAATGTTCGGCCATTGCTGCACGGGTTTCTCTGCTTTTTTTTCTTCCCTTTCTTTTGCTTTATGTGTGGAAACGCATAAATTTTAAGTGCCAACTGTGCCGCACGGACCTCTTTCTTGGTCGGCCTTTCCTTTCCTTTCTCCTTTTCCCCAGTTCCCCCCATTTCCATTTCGATTTCCCCCCTTTAGCGACAGCTGAAAATGCAACCAACGCCATGGTGTCCGTTTCATTCCGTTTTGTTGCGTTTCCGTTCAGTTCCCTTTCGTTCCGTTTGCAGCTTTGCCAAATAAAATGGCCACAAGCCAGTTATTTTGCTGTTGTATTTCCCCATACAGATTTTATGGGATGCACAAGGAAAAAATAATACATTTATTATTAGGAGGCTTGAGTTAGTTGAAGTATTTTGTTTTTCAGGTATTAAACCATTAGTTTCTGGCAGGAAATTTATTTTTTAAGGCACATGAAATTAGGCTTTCAACTTGCTTCACAAATATATATATTTAAACCCCTATTGAGTGCCCTATTTTCCTCTCTGCACCTCCTGAGTACGTTGTACGTACGTGTGGGCATAATAAAAGCAAATCAACAAATAGAAAAATCCTGGCATAAGGAGGCCGATGGAGGAGCTCAAAATCGCGCTGCGGGCCCAGGCAAATTGTAAAATATATTTTTACTGCAATTTGTGCCGAGAGCTAACAAGAAGCTCGAAAAGAACAACAACAAAACAAAAACAAGGCAACAAGGACAAATAATGGCACAAGGAGCAGCAAAACATGGCTCAAGGAGGGACCCCCCAAAAACTGGCCACATAATGAAGGCTGAGATAGTACCCCAAAAACCCAGTTTCACTTCCCTTAAGAAATCCCTACATACCCCCGATTTCGCTGTATCTGTGTGGCAGCAAAAGTGAAATTACTGCAAATTTGCTGGCAATGCCAAAAACACAAGAAACAAAAAGGAAAAAAAAATCTAAAAAAATACACCAAAATTCTTGTACCAAAAAAAGAAAAGAAATTACACGATTCTTTTTATTTATTTTTTTGTTTGGGCCAAAATGTCGCGTTCGAGGTCGAGGAGAAGGTACGGCTAATATTTCGCTGAACATTTAATTTAACGAGACATCAGGGGAATTTTCCTCTCTCCCTTACAGAGATTGAGAAACAATGAGCGAGGCATTTAGAAGCCTCCAACAAGGACGACGACGCAATTGTTGTCCGTCCAGAGACGATTCTCTTCCCGAGTGCGGAATTTTCAACAGGGATTCTTATTTTTTTTATTTCGAAAAGGATGTCTTCTTCATGGGGTGAACAAAAATTCGATTGCATACTTAGGACAAGAAATCTGTTGAAAAAATCACTTGAATATCGGAAATCTGAATAAATTGCTGGCCATAAACAGATTCCTTCAATATGTTTTTGATTTCAGGAAACAATTTTAGTTATTGAGTCAGAAAATGTTTTGGTGATTGGTGGAATAAATTATTTTATTTTTTTTTCTTTATTTTAAATGATTTATTGAATGAGAAACATAAGTTAAATGGTTGTTATAGGTTTGAGTAAAGGTATTAAATATGTTTTTCTAATAAAAAGCTGTAAAGTAGTAAGCAAAATTTTTAAAGTAAATCTCGTATAATAAAATATATTTTCCTATAAATAAACCTTTTACTAAATAAACTCTTTTACCTATAAACAAAACCTTATTCCACAAACCAGAAAATATTCACTAAAACCTGCTTTAAAAGTAGTTTTCAATTCATTTCATTTACCTTCCCTTCTTTTATTCAATTATTTAAATTTCTCCTGAAAGGAAATGTGGCATTTGCTTATTTTCCTGCCGCTTATCCGAATAATTGGCGGCCGTTTAAGGTTGCCCTCTGTCCCGGCATAAAATAATAATAAAAACGAAAACTTTTTTGCACTCGCCCTGAGGGAGAGCTTTGACCAAAAAATATTTCTTAAAAAAAAGAACTCGAATCGAGGACAAACACTGCGGCAGCAAATCACAAATTGCAATTTTGGGGGGAGGAGCCAGAAAAACTGGCCGGGGATAAACTTGAAAATTGCAACAAGAACAAAGCAGAAGGCAGCCGGGGGGCTTCGTTTTTTTTATTTTGTTGTTTTTTAGTCCACATTCCCCTGGAGTCCTTTTTGGTGGCGCTCAAGGACGCGCCCTTTACCCCTCCCCATAGATTTTTCTTGCAGGATTTCCCTTGCTTAAAGCCCTCTTTCCCTTGGCCGCAAAAGATGCTCCTCGTTGGTTAGGGGGATTCCCCAGAGCGGCGACAACGATGACGATGACTGCGCTTTGCCAGCAGTTTTTTATAATTTGCACTTTTTTTAGCCTGGTCTTTTTTTGTGTTTTTACTTCCACCGGTGGGGCACGTGTCCTGAGAATTCTCTTTATCCCAGCTGCAAATGAGCAAGTCGCCAGAGACACGGCCCCAAAATACGAGGAGATATCAGAGAGAAGAGGAGCAAGGAAGGGACAGGAAGCCGCAGCTGCAAATAGAAAAATTCTCGTAATAATACAACAAAATTTCCAACTAGACAAGGACACGCTGATTCTTTTTTTGGGACGAAAAACAAAAAAACACAGGAGGGAGATGAGCAGCGAACAAGTCTGTGGAGAATTTAGTCAATTTGTTGCGGGCTACAGAGAGAGAAAATGAGGGGAAAACTATTTAAAAACTAGAATGAAAGGAAACAAACCCCGGGAAACAATCACATTATGTTATTTATTAATATTTTTATATGAACATTTTTTTTTGACAAATCAAAATTTCAAATACTCAAAAGTGAGTCAAAAAAGCACTTATTTCAATTTGGAAAACTGCCCAATGTTTTTTTATTAGGTTAATAAATCTACGCACTCAATTTAAAATTTAAAAAAATTCCAAATTTGTATACATTTTTTTTTTTAATTTTAACGATAAAATGATAAAATTTTTGAAAATTTAGAAAAAAATAGATTTTGACCGGACATAGCTAGATCCATTCTGCTGTTGATGCTGATCGAGAATATATATGGTTTGTAGGGTCAGAAATGACTCCTTCACTGCGTTTCAGGCTTTTGACCAAAATCATAAGACATTTTTTGGTACCAATTTTAATTTTAAATGTAGTAAACAATTCTTATAAAAATTATTTAAATAAATAAATAATTTCTTATAGTGAATTCTGTAATTATCCTGGTAAAACTAACTAGTTTTACTTAACTTGTTTTAAATACCATTTAAATGTTATACTATTTTTCCCAGTACATTTAATTTACTCTTTAATTCCCTCTAGCAAGTCCTTCTCTCATTTTTTCTCTCAAAATTTTTCCTTGCCTTCTATTTAGAGATTTTCAAGAGCAAGAGTCCGCAGGATTATTTTTTTTTTTTCTTGTAGTGTCGTTGTCCTTCTGCGGTTTTCTACTTGGAAAATTAAATTTTCGCACACAGATGCGTATTTTCACCACGTTTTTTCTTCCTGCCTCCTGGGCTATTGCGGTTCTTGGCAATTAGCAAGCGAGTGAAACGAGTGAGAAAGTAAATAAAATGAACTTCTCGTTGAGGTAATCAGTCTCTAAATCCTAAACCGTAAAAATTGTCTAGACTTTGGACACTGTAGTAAAAAAAGAAATGCACAAACAGTCTCGGAAAAGTCTCGGATAATCGGAGCTGGAAATCTCACTCTACTCATTTTACTGAGAATCTCTCCAGATGAGAACCAATTTTCGGCGTCAGTCAATATTCGTCGTCCACTTGCAGCTTGACAAATGAACAGGCCGCCTACGGATCTTTAGATGGGGGGAAATGGAAATGGAAATGGAAAATGGTAGAGGAGCATCTTGTTTGGCAATCTAATAAACTGCTGACTGACCAGCAGCAGAAAAGTCGAGGAAAAGCCAAGAATCCAGCGAAGCGCATTCGGGCGAGCATCAATTTTCAGTAGTTGTCCAGGACAACAGGGACGACGACGATGAGGATGGGGATGACGACCAAATAATCATCAGTCGAGCATCAGCAGCATCATCATCATCATCATCCTATTGAAAAATTGCGAAAAATCGTAAAAAGAGAGGACACTGAAGTGGCCTTGAAATATTAAGACATTGACAAAAAAATGAAGCATTTTCGAGGAGGTTGGGGGAATGAATGTCTGACAGAAGCCAAAAGCAGAAAATTGACAAACTTTCCCTCATTGGTTTTTATTTTTTTGGTTTTGTTTTTCCTGTGATAGATGAAAGGCGAGCGATATTTTTCAAGATATTGACCAAAGACCTAATGATTGGTGTGAAAGATTAAATTTGAAAAGAGAACCCAATCAAAGGATAAATATTTAATACAACAAAAAAATCAATTCCCATTTAATTAAGTTGAAAGTTTTGTGAATTTCGAAATTGACACAATTTCAATTTAACAAAATCAATTGCCATAAATCCAAAAAGTTTCTCAATATTTCCCCCATGGCCATTAAATCAAAAATTGTCACATTCGTATTATGAGGAAATAAATTTCTTTTTCTTCCTTTTTTCTAAAATAAACACACATTGCTCGATGAAAAGTTTATTTATTTAAGCAACAAATCAAATACATCAGTTTTCTTTCGATTTTACAATTAAAAGATTTTTGCAATTAATTTGTTTTTGGGGGACAAAACTGCCTTTGCAAGAAGAGAACCTCAAAGCTAAATAGTTCAGGCAGGGCAAATAACAATAACAATAAGGTAAATATATACACCATTTCTGTGTGTGTGAAAATTACTTAACTTTTTTCAATGTTTATTTTTCACTTGAGTTTTGCCTGAGAAGTCGCCCGGTCTCTCTTATTTGGCAGGAAAATTGTCTAGGAAAAATATGCAAACATTTATTCGAAACGTTGATTTTATTTATGTTGTGCCACCATCAATCGTCCCCAGTGAGAGGTTCTTGTCAAATATTACCATTTCGTATTTATTTATATATTGGCAGCGTTTAAAGTTTGGCCACCTGCGGGCACGAAAAGCAGGAAGCAAATCAAGGACAAGAGTGAGGGGACAAAATTCAATATTAGCACAATTAGTGATGGTTACTCGAGGGGGAGAAGAACCCCTAGGAAGTTTTCAAATAAAAATAAATTGATTTTGAGGCTGGCAAGCTGGGAAATTGATTGACTGAATTTTGCACTACCTAGGTTAAGCTTTGAACTTGGGTTCATGATTCTAGGAAAAGTCTACCAAAAGTAATTTAATATAAAAGGGAATTTAACTAATTAAGGAGCATTATTTTCTATATTTATTAATTTAATTTAATTTTTTCTGATTTTCAGACTCGACTTTCAACCGGAGCGTGGCATTTACGATCTGCAAATCAAGAATGTATCCTATAATCGGGATAATGGCCGCTTCGAGTGCCGGATTAAGGCCAAGGGCACCGGGGCCGATGTCCATCAGGAGTTCCATAATCTCACAGTGCTAACACCACCCCATCCACCTGTGATCTCACCTGGCAATATAGCCGTGGCCACCGAGGATAAGCCCATGGAGCTTACCTGCAGCAGCATTGGCGGTTCCCCCGATCCCACCATAACGTGAGTTTATATTTGAATACATTTTATTTTAAAATATATATTTCTATATATATATATCTTTCTAGTTGGTATCGCGAGGGCTCTAATTCTCCCCTGCCAGCCACTGTTTTAAGGGGCGGCACCAAGGATCAACCCACCAATGCCACTTTATCCATAACTCCCAGAAGGGAAGACGATGGTGCTAAATACAAATGTGTGGTTAGAAATCGAGCCATGAATGAGGGAAAACGTTTGGAGGCCATTGCCACTTTGAATGTTAACTGTGAGTATTTGAAATTTGGTTATTATTTATATAAAAAAAATATATATTTAATATGTGGCATAATCAGAGCGAGTAGGAAGAAAATTAAAGGGGTAAATTCAAAGGATAATTCAATGAGCAATATACAGAAATTTCTCTAAATTACTAGCCTACAAAATATATTAAAAAACCGTTAATAAAGATTAGTATAATACCAGCGTTTACAGAATAAACCTTATATCTTCAATTAGATTGTACAGAATTAAATTCTTATAAAAGTATCTTTAATTACTATACTTCATTCAATAAAATCCCCATTAAAACCCCTGATAAAATATACAATACCATGAGTAATACTCTACAAAACATTAATCAACATTTGAAAGCTTCTGTAAACCAAACTCTCTATAAGAAGGGCATCTCTCTTCCATTCCCCTTCCCCTGATAATTATCACTATTACTCACATTCAGCCACTTGAGGCATCATTAATAATTTTCACAAACTTACACTCGATGTATATATCTGACACTTGGCTTGAAAAATAATTCCCATAAATTACAACACTTGACCATTGCTAATTAGAAACATTGGGGCGAGTCTCTCTCTGAAGTATATATAAAATATTTAGTAGAGCAAACTCCAGATGGGAGCGTGCTCCTCCTCTGAGTTGAAATTGGTATCGCTTAATTTGCATGCTCGACGGCAATTACAATTACCATTAGAGGGTACAATGCAACACCATATGAATATCTCTGAACATTAGCATAATGAAGGAAGGAGACAATGAACACTGAGCAACACAGCACGGCATTTAACCCCCTGTTTTTCGCTCTTGCACATGACACATTTCGCTTAAAACTATTTAGATGCAACACACCAGGAACACACCAGCAACTAGCAACACAACCAACAATCCGCATAATCGCATATATCTTTTTTAAAAAGCCAACAAAAGCCAGGCACATAAATTACAAATGCTGACCTGCTGCTGACTGAACGCAAGTAATTAGAATAGAAATTTATGTGCCACTCGTCGTCCTCGTCCCTGGGTGTTGTTGTTGTTGTTATTGTTGTTGTTGCAACAAGTGGTGTGTGTGTGTGTATGCGTGTGTATGACCTGCTAGCTGTTAACGCTGGCTATTAGGGCTAATCAAAAGGCAAATAAAGTGAAATATTGCCCCGGTCTGCCATGGCAAAAGCAATCGAGTGTTTCTGTGCCTATACTATACTATAGCCGACACCTGAGGGCACTGAGAGAAATAAATTAGGTATTTTTAATGAGTTTTGATAAGGTTTTAAAAACTAGAAATTATATATTCTTCAGAAAGTATAGTTAAAGAGAGAAATTTAGAAAGATTTCTATGAAAAGGTATAATATTAGCTTGGAATGACTTATTAAAAGTATATATTTCAAACATTTTGCATATAAAATCTTTGATTTATATATTATAAGTTATTTACATACATTTTAATATAGCTTTCTATATTTAAAGGCTCTTATTAAATGTTTTTATTATCTTCTACATATTTATAAAATATTCTTTTATTTACATTTCTTTTCTCTCTCTGTACTTTTGGTTTTAAAGCCATAGTTCGTACCTTTAGCCATGGCTATCAACTGTGTAATTAATTCAAAAGCCAACACACACACAAACACTTACACAACAACCAAAGGCGGCTATGTAATGACCATAGAACGCTGGTTAGTATAAGTATTAGAGTGGGTATTAATAGTAGTGGGCAGAAGACTAGGCTAATTGCACAATTCAGGCTAAAAGAGTGGGAAAAATAATACCAAGAATACAAGAAGTAATAGAAGAAAAGCAGAAGTGTTCATTAGAAATAGAAAATAATATAAAATATTATAAACTATAAGACTGACTACCTTTTTTTTCTTCAAAGAAAACTTTGAATTATGAATTAATTTCACTTCATATGGTATAGGAATATATTTCTCCATAACCACTCACACATTCTATATACAGATCAAAAGCAAAACAACTTTGTTATATTAATCTTAAGCCGCCATAAGCAATTAATTGTGTATTGTAAACAACAACAATAACTTGGTTGGCTGCATTAAAGCCATAACCGCCAACGTTGTCTTCTCTCGTGAGCACACATGGCGTATGAGTAATGCCCACCTAACTGACTCAAAAACAACAACCAACAAACACAGCCATACAAATAGAGTATAAACATATATATATATAATATAAACTTATATATTTATTGACCCAATGCTAATTAACCGCCTCTTCAAAAACAGCCACGCCCACTTGATATAGATTGGCACCAATCGAGAAGTGGATTTTGAAAAATAAAACTACATAAGAATATAGCTTATATTTATACCATATAAGCAGGAATGTCAGAATGTGTATAGAGAGTGTGTGTGGTGAGTGTGTGTGTGGTGTGTGTGGAATATAGGTCGACGCTTGCGGTTTAATTAGTTGGCCTCAGGGCCACGCCCACCGCATTTGCATAGATCAAATTCATGATGTTTATCTAACATGTTTAGTCAGTGGGCGTAAACAAAAAGGTTTAATTAGGAAAAAATATTAGACAAAAAAAAAAGAAAAACAACATAAAAAGCAACACAAAAAACCATTGAAACCGCAAAGTAAATTTCAAGGGATTTGCAATTGTAAATGTTTATTAATTGCTCAGAGTTTAGATTTATAGTTTTCCACAGGGAAAAGCTTGTACAGGAAAATCAGTAATTGCAGGAAAAATAAGGTTGAACAAAAATTGGTAAAGAACAAACAAATTGAGTAGGGTATATCTTTATCTTTATCTATATATATGAAGTCTGATTGTGGCCAAGGATTTTCCACTTGCGGTCACACGTTCTCTAGTCCGGTTTTCAGTTATCCAGTCTCTTTGGGTTAGAGTTTCCTTTGCCATTTCCCTTGCCTTGGCTTCAGTAATGCGTTTTTAAGCAAGCAGACAGAGTGGGAGAGTGAGAGCTATACCGGAGTAGATCAAACAGGGAAATGATGTCCTGTCTGTGTCCTGTGTCCCGTGTCCCTGGGTCCACTTCCTTTTGCCAGCCTTCAGGCATTTTGTGCTGCGGTTGCTGCGGGCCAGAAATCCACATGGGAGGAAGTATAGAGAAAAGGACTCTCAGAAATAGTAGTTGAAAAAGTTCAACCTAAACTGAGAAAAATCTATACACAAAATCTAAGAATTATTGTTGTATTTATAAGGGATTTCGAATGAGTTAAATGAGTTTATAAATTTTCTGTACAGGTTTTAGTTGAGTCTTTTAGAAATTATTATATTTCTATATCTTCATAAAAATTGTAAAATATATAATATAATAATATTTCTCTCTCTGCAAACACAACGTAAAGCAGACAGACCCTCTCTAGCTTTTGTTTGTTTAGCCAACAAGTTTGAGCTCTAAAATTAAATCAAAAACAATTTAATTGAAATCAACACACAGAGGGAAAACCCTATCCTGGCACTCGTTATCCTTTCTTTCACTTTGATTTACGTTTGGCAATAAAAATTCACTTTTCTCTGGTCTCTGTCTCCTGACCTGGCCTCCCCCGCCCATTGACACCTACAAATTAATCAGAAAATGAGCCACGTTCTTGGCCTAATCTCCCCTAATAACTCATTGCCAAATGGCCGGTAATAAATCGGCAAAACGAAAAGCAGTGGAAATTGTCGCGCTAATAACCGCAAAATGACAAAATTGCCACCAAAAATCAACGATGGCAATAATTTCAAATTTCATCCTTTTTTTCCCCCTTGGTGGTTAGAGGAGAGAAACGTAAAGTCAAGTTTAATCTGGCCAAGGCTCTAATGTATTGCCTTTGGCCCGAAGGGTCGTCGCTTCATTCCCCATTTTCCGCGTCCTGCTGCTGATGAAGCCAATCGGATCCTAAGGCAAGAGGAAATTGTGCAGGGGAAAGGAGAAAGGAATAGGGAAAGGAAAGCGAGTTTGAGTTTTTCACCTGCGGAAAAGTAGGCAAGCAACAGACAGCTGCTTTCCAGGGATAACTCTGCAGAGGACCTCCTCCGAACCGGAAAATGCGAGAGAAGGGAGTAGGAGCTGGTTTAGGACTACGGCTTTTGTTTTTTTGATTCTAAGCTGACAAGGCAGAGGGGCAAATCTCACTCGGTCTTTATTTTACTTTTTTTTTTGCTGTCAAATCTTTGTCCCCAGCACGAAAACCGCTTAAATTTGTTGGCGGCTTAGCGCCTGAAAAAAAAAAAAATATATATATCTATATATATAAAAATGCTCTGTTCGTGTCTACATCCTTCATAGACTTGAAAAGTTCTGAACCGTTTAAGCCCAAATTTTTACACAACATGCGTTAAGGTTCCAGCTCGGTTATTGTCTACTTTTGATGTTGATAGCTTATCTGCGGTTGCGAATATATCAATTTTTTAGCGTTTCCCCGTGCCCCTACTGCTGCGCCCTCTACAGGAAGCCAGCTGAATCAAAGCATTTCCTGTCAAACATTCAAAATATATTGAAAGAAGAAATTGGAGATACAAATTTTATTTTTTTGTTCAGGTTCAGTAAGAAACGAAGTCATGCCACCAAAGAAGTCGAGATTGGGTCGTCGTATTCGCAATACAGAAGCAAAAAGACGTAAGATTACGAATATGACTGACGAAGAACGGGCCTCCATCCGAGAGACGCGGCTGCGCAATGAACTTTTACTCATACAGGTTAATGGTTCGGAGGACCGATTGCAATCATATATTGAAATGTCGTCAGTTGTTTCATCAGTACATTGTCGATATGTATGCAAAAATTTAAACAACGTTTTCTGTTCCTCCGATTGAATTAGAAGAAACTTCGGTCCGAGGAATATATCCATTTGCGGGATGCTGTGATGAATGACCGTAATACAACCAACGTTGGAAAGCTCACGATTTTGCCATCCTCATACATAGGTAGTCCACGCCACATGCATGAATATGCTCAAGATGCCCAGGCATATGTTCGTTGCCACGGCCGTCCAGACTTATTTATCACCTTCACATGCAATCCAGC